GCCTTAAAGTCTGTGCTCTCTCTGCTGTTGTGTTTTTGGGCTGTGAGCTGAAAAGCTACAGCCGGCTGTATGCATACAGCAACCGTGTGTGAAAAGTGGTCAATAAAGACATGCTGAAAAGCATGCTCATGGAAACGTTGTCGGGTCTGCCGTAGTATGTTTACAATGGGACTTCTACTCCTGAATCTCTGCGCACAGCGTCTGCAAATCGGGGCTGTACGAAGTCACTTTCATCTTTATGCAGGACTGTAAGCTGTCATCTGTGAGGCGTGAGCGGTTTTTGTTTTTAACATAGTTCACAGTGGAGAATAGCTGCTGACATAATGTGGATCCGAAGATCCATAATTGGCCTATCTGGGGTTGAAAGTCTCGATAAATGCACGGCGTTTCAGCGGGTATACCGGCTTCCGCCAGTGTGACGCTTATGTTGAGCGATGAAAAATAATAAAATATAATTTTAATTTTACATTTCAATATAACAATAATCTTCCAATTTAGAACTACAAGTTAAAAAAACAGAACTAAACACAAATAAAATACACTTCAGCTTCTAATTTATTTTCCAAAACCACCTGGAGCCGCAGTACAAGGACAAAAGAGCTGCATGCGGCTCCGGAGCCGTAGGTTGCCGACCCCGCAGGTTGCCGACCCCGCAGGTTGCCGACCCCTGGACTAGGTGAATGAGGCATGTTGAAAAAAAGTGCTTTGACTGCTCAAGCAGAGAAGAAAAGTGCTATATGTAGATATATATATCTTGAAATATATGAAGCTAAATTATCACAAAACCCATTAGATGTGTTCAAACTCTGAACCATAAAATTTGTATGTAAATGTGTGATGGTGTTACGGCCCTGGGCCTTGGAGGGAGTGAGACTGCCATGACTTGTGGGTGATTGGTTACTGGGAGACCCGTGCCAACCCTCTCTTATGCAGAATGAAGTGTGCCAGACCACACGGACGATTGGCTGCCTGGGGATCCCGTGATGCTCCAAGAGGCAATCAGTGGCTGATCGTGCCCACCTGTGGCTACAAAAGGCTGGAGGTCCTTCACTCAGTGGCTGCTGCTTAGGACTGAACATGCAGTTTGCCCTTTGTGCCTCCCTCTTCGATCTTTGTTGAACTTGTTCGTATTGCTGAACTTTGTCAAGCCTTGGCGCATGCTTGAACTTAGACTGATTAGAGTTTTGAGCTGCTAGCTGGCTGTGAGTAGAATTTTGTGATGCTGGCTTGCCTTAGTTAACCCTTAGCTTTTATTTTGTGTGTGTGGCCAGCTTGCCTTAGTTAACCTTTAGCTTTTACTCTTGACTGTTTTTTTCTTTATGTAATAATTGTTTGCACAGTGGTCTGTTGAACAGCCCTGTCGGTTTGTGTATGTTACTCCTTCCCTGACGCCTAGCAGAGGGGGTCGTAACAGATGGTCAAGCAGAATGTTCTAAAGAAAAAAAATGTCTGACTTTAGATCGAATGACTGTAACTACCTATATTAAGGTCTATTTGTTGTAGACTCATTAATTTATAAATTTAACTACAATTTCTATAAAGGAATCAATTTCAGCATTTTTGTACTGGTTTGATTTTGTGATCCAGTTGGCATCGACAATGTTGCTTCATGTTGCTACTACTGGGGTTAGTTTAATTGGTGAATCTAAATTGTTCATAGGTGAGAATGTGAGTGTGAATGGTTGTGTTTCTATGTGTTGGCCCAGCAATAGACTGGCCACCTGTCCAGGTTGTACCTTGCCTCTTGCACTATGGTAGCTGGGATAGGCTCCAGTGACCCTGAATTGGATAAGCGCAAGAGAATGGCTGGATGGAAATAAATTAAATGAAATGTCATCCAGCAACTTTCTTGGGTTGACTTTATGAATTTTGAATAATTTCAGTGAGTGCAAAGTCTTAAAGAACCACAATCCCAAATGACAATGCATATTTGGTCTCTTAATGCAGCATTTAAGTTTGATTAATTTAAGTGAATTAAATTTCTTCTCAGTGAGAGAAAAGGAGAACAGTATTTGCTAGAGAATTGAATCACTGTAAAGACAACGGTAAATAAAAGGACTCACTCAGAAGC